CCGAGCTGCCCACCTATCAGCGCAGGAGGCGGATGAACGCAGAAGATGCGGCTATCTGCAAAGAGAAATGCGAGGAGTTGCCGCCAGCTGGGATAATGCGCCCGTCAGAGTCGAGTTACGCAGTAGCCACGGTAGTAGCTGCCAGAAAAGACATCATAGGGAAAGTGTTAGCGAAGCGTATGTGCGGGGATTTTAGGGACCTGAACAAGATCACCAGCCCGGACCAATACCCCATGCCGACTGCAGATGATATCTTCGATAAACCTATGTTGCGCCTGACGCCTTGGAAGGGCAGCGTCCAGCGTCCGGACGTGAACGTCTGGACGCTGGACGCGTCAAATCGGTTTGACGCTGGACGTTCGGGGAATTTTTTTTCGGGCAGCCCGAAAAAACATTCTCCCCACACGAAATTGACTCGCGATCTCATCGCGACCAGCATTGCGATGAGATTGCCAACTGGGGGCCACGTTTTTGACCTACAAAAACGCAACCCTCATTTATTCACCCCCACACATTTGTACCCATCCACATCTACTTCTCCCAACCAGGTCGACACCCAACTAAACTAGAGAACCAGATCTAGGTCGACATTACACAGATCCGTTTCTCTCGACATTGCCAATCATTCCTACTAGGCAACAATCATGCTACTAAGCCTACCTAGCTAAAACTAGGTTAAGACGATTGGCACATCATGTCAACTGCTAGTCCCGCCGGTCATTCTGTTAGTGCCTCCACACCTTCTGTCGGCGGTGTGGAGGGAGAAGGCCAGTACGACGAAATGCCTAAACATCCCGTGTACAAGCATTTTTTATTTTACGTTAAGGACCCCACCAAAGGCAGAATAACGAAATGCCGTTATTGCCCAAAAGAGTTCGTTTCCAGTAGCACGCGCTGCACCGCTCATCTTGCTGATTGGGAGGGGAAGAAGGGTCACGACATTATTGCGTGCCCGGATGCGCCAAAAGAGGTAGTAGAGAGCATTCGCACATTGCAGGAGGGGAAATGTAAGAAGCAGTTGGAGAAAAACCGGTCGGAGATGGCGGCCATGGATGCGGTGAGTGGCAAAACCAGCAGCGGGATGGGTTCTAAGAGAGGGCGCATGTCAGATTTCTATGGGGCGGAGGGGTCAGTGGCTAGGCGGGAGGCGGATGATGCCATATGTCTCTATTTCACAGCATTGGGTGTTCCCGAAAACCAAGTCGACAACCCTCTTTTCCGCAACATGATAAGGGCAGTTGCAGCAGCGGGTGGTAGCTATGTCCCTCCGAAGAGAAAGTACGTGGGCGGGGCTGGACTGCAGCGGACTCGTAAGAGGATTGAGGAGGGGTTGGATCCCGTGGTTAAGAAGTGGCCGGAGAAAGGTGTCACCATCGCTAGTGACATGATGAGTGACAGGAATGGGCGTGCGCAGGCGAATTTCCTTTGCGTCAACGAAGATGGAGCTGTGTTTATGGAGAGTGTTGACCGCGGGATGGAGCGAAAAACAGGCCGTTACATTGCTAGCCTCATCCGGCCAGTCATAACGAAGGTGGGGCCGGAAAATGTCGTTGCACTATGCATGGATGGAGCGAGCAACTACGCAGCCGCGACCCGTGAGATTGTGAAGGAATGGCCGCACATTGAGATTGTGCCGTGCGCAACGCATGTGCTTGACCTCTTTATGGAAGACATAGGGAAGATGGATTGGGCCAAAAAGCTGGTTGAACGAGCGGGGGAGCTGATCACATTCTTGCGCAACCATCATTGGACACGCGCATACCTGAGGGCGGGGGAGCTGCATGGCGAGAAGGTGCTGCAGGCATTGCGACCTGCGGGCACTCGCTTCGGGACACAATACCTTGCCGTGTCTCGACTTTGTGAGTTGCGCCCTCATCTGTGCAGCATGGTCTCCCATGATGTCTTCAAGGACTGGGCTGCAGCTGCAGGTGCTAAGGTGAAGGAGGCAGCAGACAAGTTTGAGAAGTACGTGCTGGATTCTGCGTGGTGGAAGACAGCAGAGTTCGTCAAGAAGCTGTTGTAGCTGCCATATGTCACCATGCGTAAGACAGACTCGACAAAGAAGGGGATGATGGCAAATATGTTTGACCTGATGCTACAGTTGACGGAGGAAATGAGTGCATTGCTGGAGGAGGATGAGGAGCAGCTGAGCGACGAGGATAAGGAGAAGATCAGCGATTTTCTGAAGGCTAGATGGGATGATAGCCTTGCATGTGCGCTCCATGTGGCTGGCCGGATTTTTAGTCCGGCCAACCAGAAGGAGGGAATCTTTCTTCGGGATAGGGAGTGTACCAAAGTCATGAAGGAATTCTTAGAGCGTGCGCATGATTTCTTGGTGAAGTACAAGAGGGGTGGAGCTGGTGGCTTCAAAGAGCTTCAGAAGGGGATGCTTGCCTACATTAACGGTGATGAGAGTTTCGGCACAAAGAGCGCGGTGGAGGCTCGGGAGGAGATTCGGGCTGGGAAGGGGGATCTGCTAAGCTGGTGGCAGTGGCATGGATGCGACTACCCCGAGCTAGCTGACATTGCGCGCCGTACCCTTGCGCAGCCCGTGTCGGCCTCCTCGTGCGAGTGGAATTGGGCTAAGTGGGAGGGAGTGCACACGGCTCGCCGGAACCGGCTAGGGTCGGAGAAATGCCGCAACTTGGTGTACGTGGCCCACAACTGGCTGGTGGTGTATAATGCACACAAGCGACCTGAGATGGAGGGGGCCGGGATAATTGAGGGTAACAAGCCAGACCCCCCGGTCCCGGAGGGATACATTCTGGAGGAGGAGGTGGATGAGGAGGAGGAGGAAGAAGACAAGCTGCTGGCTGATGAATATGTGGCAAAAACGCCTGACGCGTCAGGCGCAACATAGCGATAAACTAGATGGAGCAACGATCTTCTCCACCCTGGACTTACAACAAGGATTTAACCAAATTGCTATCAAGGAGGAGGATAAGCGGAAAACGGCCTTTCACTGAGTAGATGGACTGTACGAATACAACGTGATGCCATTTGGGGTGCGTAATGCGCCAGCTGTGTTTCAACGGGCTATGGATGAGGTGCTGAAAGGAATCCCAGCAGCAGCTTGTTACATCGACGATGTGCTCATTTTCAGTGGAAGTGACGAGCAGCACGTGCAGGACTTGAAGCAGACTCTAGAGGCGATAGCAGCCGCAGGACTTAAGTGTCACCCGGACAAGTGTAAGATAGCCCGCCGTACCGTGGCGTACCTGGGGTTTGAGGTGAGGGGAGGCCGACTGGCGTTACAGGAAGCTCAAGTCAAGGTGCTGGAAGATTTGGCTGCGCCGAATGACAAAACTGGGCTACGGCCACTTCTTGGCTTCCTCAACTACTACAGGAAGTTTGTGCCAAATTTCAGCCGCCGAGCACACGCCTTGAACCAGCTGCTCAGAGAAGGGAAGAGTTGGCAGTGGGGAGAGACGGAGGAAGCAGCCAGGCAAGATCTACTGGAAGCAGTGAAGATAGGTACCCTGCTGCAGATACCTCGAGCAGATGAGTCATGCGTCCTTCACACCGACTGGAGCAGTATGGGAATGGGGGCAGTGCTCTACCGGGAAATAGACGGGGAAGAGAGAGTCATAGCATTTGCTAGTCGCAGCTGCAGCCCTACTGAAGCTAACTACAGCTCATACGAAGGGGAGGGACTGACCGCCGTGTGGGGTATTACACACTTCAAAGTGTAACTGCAAGGTCGGCACTTTACGCTAGTGACCGACCACCAGTCCTTGCTATGGTTGATGAAAAACCAAGAACTGACGGGCAGGAACGCCTGGTGGGCAATCAAACTGTTGGGATTCGATTTCGATATCCGTCACCGACCGGGTAAGACACCGCAACACGCGGATGGGTTATCCAGGAACCCGCCTCCGATGCAGCCAGTTGCACGGGTCGCTTGATACACGCGGAGGGAAGGAGAGTAAACTCATTACATATGCCAGGAAGAACAAGGGTCAGGGGGTGTCACCTGCTGGAAGAGAGGGGACAGAAAAGTGAGAAGGGTGGAGAGAAAAGGGAGAGAAGGCTTCAATGAGAAGGGAGGTTCAGCCGGACTTGCATCACGACAACGCCTCTCTTCCCTTGAATTGATGTAACGCACGCCTCTCTTCTCTACACTACATTTAGTGCTTTGATGCTGCAGCATGTCCCCCCTGCCTTGCAGCCTTTCTAAGCAAGCTGACTGCAAGTCACAACTACAATCCACGTATTCTTTGCTTTCTTTTGTATCCTTCATTGTACCCCCTCATCTCGTGGCTCGCATTGTCACTTGCTTGCCATGCCATCACCTCACATGCTTCCTCACTCTCCCCCTCATCGCATGGGTATGTCTCGTTGCTTACGCTCGCGCACACCACACACACACACACAAACACACACACACGCACACACACACACACACACACACACACACACACACATACGCACACACACATATGTACACTGTTCCTTGTTTGTAGTATGTACGTGCTTGCGTGCCGCACTAGCACCATCTAGGGATGAGCAAGGGGCGAACACGAACATGTTCGTGTTCGCCCCTACACGAACACATCTGTTTGCCGAACCGAACAGTGTTCGGTTCGGCGAACACTTAAAGCAAAAACAGGAAATCGCCATTCGCCTGTGAAAGCGTGTTCGAGCGAACCTCGAACACGTTCGTGTTCGTCGCAGGGCAAATTGCAGCAGCGGCCCGAACACGAACGTGTTCGGGCGAACCTCGAACACTGTTTCGCGAACACTTTAAGCAATAAAAACAAACCTGTTCGGTTCGCCTCGAACGCGGTGTTCGTTCTTTTGCTCATCCCTAGCACCATCTGCTACGCGTCAGGCAATGTTTGTGTCACTAGTTTTGAGTCGTCTCAAAATCTGGCAATGCTTGTGTCACTCGTGAGAATTCTTCCTAAGTGACTTGCTTGCACATGTCCCTTGTATGTGCGTGCTTGCACACGTCATTCCCCTTGTATGTGCGTGCTTGTGTGTGGCACGGGCACCATCAGCGACGCGTCGGGGAACAACATCTCAGGAAGCATCCCTGCCACCATCACTACCCTCTCACACCTCGAGTACCTGTGAGTTGCACACGCCCTCACCCCTCGTCTTCCATTTTCTTTTGTTTATGATGCTTTCTATTTGTTATCTTCTTTTACGTTGCTAGCCAAAATGATAACGATAATAATAATAATAATAATAATAGTAACAATAATAATAATAGTACTTGTAGTACTAATAATGATGATAGTAATAACAATAACAGCAATGATAATAATAATAACAATAATAATAATAATAATAGTAATATTCTTGGACGACCAGTAATATTCCAGTGGTGTAGCAGAAATGTGCTCTATTGGTCGTCCAAGAATTTCAGATTACCCAAACAGTATCCTTGACCCAACTGGGAGACGTCCTAATTATAGTACTGATAATAATAATAATAACAACGGCAATGGTAATGGTAGTGGTAGTGGTAATGGTAATGGTGGTAGTGGTAATGGTAATGGAAATGGTAATGGTAATGGTAATAATAATAGTAAAACGTACATGTGTGTGCACATTGCTAGCAGCTCCAATGTATCTCGCCCCTCGCTCTCTTGCTTGTCTGCGCCCCTTAGCTGCCCTGTTGCTCGTGGTGTTGCAGCAGTGGTGCAGATGGAGAGGGCTGAATGCGAACCCAAGAGCACTGGAAAAAAAAAGGGAGAGGGGCCAATTTTCTTCCACCTATTCCATCCCTCCTCCTCATCCCTGCCATCCCTCCTCCCCACCCCTGCCCTCCCCGTCCCACGCGCACATGCACGGCAGGATGCTGGGTATGAACAAGCACCTCTCAGGCTCCCTGCCCAGCACCCTGGCACGCCTCACCACCCTCAAAGACCTGTCAGCACCCCCCCCCCCCCTCCCCCCTTCCCTCCCCCGCTGCTCCTCCTCATCGTCCATACCTGTCCGATGCTCCTCCTCATCATCCACACCTGTCGCTCCTCTCTCACGCTCCTCCGCTTCGCCCCTCTGCTTCGATTCGACTCTTCACCCCTCTGCACCGCCTCTCACCACTCTGTCTTGCACTGCCTCCTATAGCACCTGTTGTCTGCCCTCTCATGCACTGCATCATTCCCCTCCTCACCCTCGTCCACCTCTCTCTCCTCCACCTCTGCTGCTGGGCCTCTGCTCTCTTGTTCCCCTCTCCTCTCCTACTCCTCTTCCTCCTTCCTCTCGTTCACAATCAACTCTCTGTGCCTCTCCCACCTCTCCCCCCTCATGCCCCAACCCATGCCACTGCCTATGCTGCTACAATGCCTTCTGACTCCCTGCTTTTCTTGCCATCCCTCATCTCCCTCCACTCCCCATGCCACATCTCCCTTCTCCCCTCCTCATCTCATCTTCACTCTCGTCAAATCATCATCTCCCCTCCCCTATCCTCCTCTCCCCCTTCCCCTCCCCACTTCACCCAGCACACTGGGAAACACGGCCATTTCGGGCGAGCTGCCTCGCTTCCTCACCGCCCTCACCCGACTCGCCAATCTGTGAGCCCCTAACCAACCTGTGAGCCCCTAACCAACCTGTGAGCCCCTAACCAACCTGTGAGCCCCTAACCAACCTGTGAGCCCCTAACCAACCTGTGCGCCCCTAACCAACCTGTGCGCCCCTCTCTCCGTGGCTCCTTGCACCTCTTTCCACCCCTCTACACCATTTCTGCATCTCGAAGTCCTTCCATCTCTAGTTCGCACCATCTCAACCGCCTTTCATCTCAACCGCCTTTCATCTCAACCGCCTTTCATCTCAACCGCCTTTCATCTCAACCGCCTTTCATCTCAACCGCCTTTCATCTCAACCGCCTTTCATCTCAACCGCCTTTCATCTCAACCGCCTTTCATCTCAACCGCCTTTCATCTCAACCGCCTTTCATCTCAACTGCCTTTCATCTCAACCGCCTTTCATCTCAACCGCCTTTCATCTCAACCACTTGTCATCTCAACTGCTTGTCATCTCAACCGCCTTTCATCTCAACCGCTTGTCATCTCAACCGCTTGCCATTCCCTTTATTTCAACCTGACAAGGGCTGCTTCAACCTGACAAGGGCTGCTTCAACCTGCACCTTATCCTCTCGTTCTGTCATTGCCTTTCGTTTTCTTTTCCTTCCTCTCCCCCCTCCTTTCTGTGCCTTGCTTTCTTCATTTCCCAAACCTCGACACATACAGTGACGTGACCAACACGGAGCTACGAGGAACCGTCCCTCCCACTTATGGAGCCCTCAATATTGACTACTTGTGTGATTTCCTCCTCTTCTTTGTTCATTCCCGTGCTAGCCTCTCTTTCTCCTTCATCCCTTAGCAAAGTGCCTCATTCCAGCCCATTATCGCTTTATATGTTAGAGAATATGTAAATATAAACGTAGTCATACATTCATACATGCCCCTCACTTGAACAACACTTCACAGAAGTTTAGAAAAGTGCAAACAAGGTAGGCCACCGGGTAATATCACTTAGGGCATGTCACCTCGGGCTGGAAGGCCCAAATCCGAACATGCATAACGAATTCATTGTAGGAACAGTGTCCGAACAGAAATTTGAACACCCTGGTGAATGTGACAGCTCGTCACCAGAGGTGACGCCCTCGCTTTTCGAACACGCAGCCTGATCGAACATGCGACGTCACCTACAATAGGGCGACATCGCTAAGCGTCGCAAGAAAAACTTCCAGTCGCCTGCCATTCCAGTTTGACCCATTTTTCGCCCATCCAGTCACAATGTTTCCTCGTACTCCTCTACTGCTGCTCACCTAGTTGTTTCCCCGGCCAATATCATTGATACTCAAAGTATGCCAGAGAAAGTTTGCATCAGTACCCAACCTCGATTTCTCATCGCTGATTGGTTCTCGCTTTTTAAACACACTTTCACGCAAATTACACCTCCGAAATGTGACAGAAACAAAACGCGATTACCTAAGTTAGATATGAACAATTGTGTCGTGGTGCTACCCAAAAAATAATAATTGTATCAAGCGCAAATTGCGTTTAAAAAAGCCATTAGGAAAAGGATGCAGACTGGGAATAATTCAACAAAATGGGGTCAACGGCACCGTCAACCCTCAGTCGACCATGGACCTGCTGACCTAAAACAGAAGAAAACTATAACCACATTGAATGGCATGTTATGTAACGGAGGCATCAAACTTAAATGTCATGCAACAAGGTGTTTATGGTTGATGCCATCCGGACTGGATGCCTTTCCGCATGGAGTTTATCTGTAATTGCGTACGGGCAGCAAGCTCTGCTGGACGGTGTCGTTTGTTTATTGAGATAATCAAAGCGGAAGGCATAGTTCTAAACACTCGACAGCTCATTCAAGGTAAATATCCAAGCGTTAAGTGTTTTTCCTTTTTTGTTGGGAACGTGCGGTTGAGGTGTTTTGGGCTACTTTGTTTTAAAATTGTGCTTAAAACAGGATCAAACAGTAAATGTAGTTACTATACCGAGAAAATGTTGGTTGATTACGTTTGCGAACCGCACTAGGCATAATCTGAGTATCAATGATATCGGCCGTTGTTTCCCAGCTACACTGCCCTTTCCGATGCACTGCGACAGTTTCCGGTGAGAAGCGATTTCCCTAGCGACTATGCGGGGTGCTGTCCAATCAGACGTGACGTCCGTGCTGGGAGGGAGGCGCCTATCATTCTTTGTTCGAACAGCGCTGTTCGAACGTGCAACACATTTGGCAGCATGCCCGATGTGACATCGCCAATCCGAAACTTCTGGTTGGCGACGTCGTTAGGGTGCCTAAGAATCCTGGCGAAGCATGTAACATTTTGTCTGTTCGAACGAGAGGCCTGTTCGAACCTGGAGGTGACACGCCCTTATGTTTATTCATTTGCATAATGAATTATACACCTCTTGACTTTCTCCCCATCTGGCCCCACGTATCCTCCATCTGCCCAATTCTCTCTCAGTTATTTTTCTGGGACCAGGTTAATGTGCCCAATGGATGGCAGCAGATGTGAAATCAGGCAAAACCTTTCATCGGCGTTTTGCAACATCTGTTATATGTTCTGCACCACGTGTGTCTCAATCAACGGTCAGGATCGCATCACACCATTCACGTGCCCCTGCCATGCTCCTCCAAATTTTGAGTCGACTTAACAACACTACGACTGTATCTCTCACGCTCTCGCTCCGCAAATCTGCTCTTCAGCATTCCCTGCCGTTTCCTCCCAATCTTCCCTTCCATTCTCAAATTCCATTACTCTCATCTGCCCACCCATCCTCTTTTTTCCCCATCCCAACCCCCCTCCCCCCCCCAGCACCAATCCCCAGACCGCCTCCCCCTTCCCCTCCTCCCCCTCCGCCAACCCCCTCCCCCCCGCCTCCTCCCCCCATCGTTACCGTCTTCCTCGCCCCTCCTCCCCCTCCGCCCTCCTCCCTCCCACCGTCTGCGATTGCGGGAATAGTAGCGGGTGCAGTGGTGTTGCTGCTTCTGATGGTGGCGGCGGTGGGATGGGGGGTGTGGAAGTGGAGGAAGGGGAGGGAGCAAACGGGGGAGGAATCGAGTGAGTGGGGAGGGGAGAGGAAGGGGAGATTTTGAGTGCACATGGCATGAATACATGATTGCATGATGGCATGGTGGCTGAAGCTTTTAATGCAACGTGTCGGCATGTGGTGTGCATTGGTTGGGAACGGTGTGTGAGTGTGTGGGGTGTTGTCCTCTCTTCCTCATTCCCCTACCCTCTGCTCCTCTCGTCAACACCCCTTTATCAGCAAGTTTCAAGGAAAACACAGAAACAAAATAACAAAAATGCGGAGCAAGAAATAAAGCTTTTCTCTGCCCCTTTCTCACTCATCCTCCCTTACCTTCCCCCCTCCTGTTTTCCTTTTTCCCACCCTTTCCCCCATCCCCCTTCCAGCCACACCTCTGCTAAAGCGCACACCCGCCTGCCCTCACATCCCCCTGGCTGACATTCTCAGGGCCACGAATGGGTGGGCGGAGGAACGGAGGGTGGGGGGAGGCAGGTGGGGTGACGTGTACCGGGGGGTATGGGTGGAGGAGGAGGAAGCAGGGGATGAGGAGAAGCATGGGGGGAAGTATGGGGGGAAGGATGGGAAGCAGCAAGGGGGAGAGGTGCAGGGGGGGTCTCAGGTGAAGCGGGAGGGGAGCAGCAAGGGGGAAGTTGCAGAGGGGAAGCAGGTGTCTGGGTCAGGGACAAAAAAGCTTTCATGGAGGCGGGGGGAAAAGTGGGCAGTGAAGCGCATGAGGGGAGGGATGCATGGGGCAGAGAGCGCGGAGCTTGAGGCTCATGTGGCGGGCTTGGCTTCCCTTGTGCACCCCAACGTGCTTGGGCTTGTGGCCTGGTGCTGCTTCCCTGTAGCGGGGGAGGGGGCAGGGGAGGGGGAGCGGGAGGGGGAGGAGGAGGAGACGGTGGGGGGTGAGGGGGGGAATCAGCTGGTGTTGGTGTATAAGTGGATGGAGCGGGGCAGCCTGCAGGCAGCACTGCAGCCAGGTGCGCTCCATAGGGCTTGTGATGCCAATTAGCAACAAGTCAAACTCACCACTCGCCCTCACCACTCGCCCTCACCACTTGCCCTCACCACTCGCCCTCACCACTCCTCCTCACCATTCGTCCTCGCCACTCGACCCCACCAATCGTGCTGCACCCAACCCATCCCCTCCGCTTTTATGGGAGCGCGTTACGCTTGCCCCATCGCACCGACCTCGTGCCATGCCCCTCCATACTCATACTCCACTACCTTGCCCCTCCATCCCCACTGTAGAAGTATGTTGTTAGTCAGGAAGATGCTGAGATCAGAACACTCGGCCTCTAAGACTAGAGGTGAGGAACTACGTCTTGGGACATAACTGGTGCACAAAACCCACACTCCCCCAACCATCCCCACACCCACCGCCAGGCGCCACGCCCTTGTCGCTGCAGCAGCGGGTGGACGTGGCAGTGGGGGTGCTACTGGCGCTCAAGGCCGTGCAGAGCCACGGGCAGGTGCATGGCGACCTCAAGCCCTCCAACGTGCTTCTTAGCCCTTCCTTTGAGGTGCGTGCCTTATCGGAATTCTCAAAAGTGACTCATGGATAGGTACGTGTCTTTTGAGAGTTCTGAAGAATGAGTTAGATATAGTTGGGTGCATTTTTTAGACCTATACCTCAGAAGTGGCTTGGGTATAGGTGCGTGCCTTTTGAGAATTCTCAAAAGTGACTCAGATATCGCCGCTGCTTGATGAAATATATAAATGTGACTTAAATATAGGTGCGTTCCTTTTGAGAAGTGAATACGCCCTCACCTCATTTCACTCCCCCTCCTCCCCCTCCCTGCCTTACCTCCATGTATTCCCCGCCCTTCTCCCAGGCGCGAGTGGTTGACTGGAGTGTGGTGTGCATGGGGCAGCGCGTGCATGTGGACATGGGCAACAGTGGCTCAGAAGGGCAGCGGAAAGGCGTTGGCAAGAAAGGCTTGGCAAGGATAGTGTCCCTGCCAAGTGGAGACAGAGGCACCAGCAGCAGCAGTGGCAAGGATGGTGGCAACAGTGGGTATTCATGGGGGGCCGGTAGGAGTGGCAGCAGCAGCAGCAGCAGCAGCAGAGACGAGCAGAAGGTGTATTTGCTGCGGTGCACGGAAGGACACGTCGATCCGGCTGTTGTGCACACCGGCATTGCCACTCCCACCAGTGACATGTACAGGTGGGGCTTTAATCATGTGACATATACATCAGCATGTTGCCATCGCTCCACATCAGCATGTTGCCATCGCTCCACATCAGCATGTTGCCATCGTTTATATTGGTGTGCTGGCTGCCTGGCTCGCCTGCACAAACTACCACCTTCCCACTCCCTCTTTTCCACCCTGTCTCCTCCACCTCTCCACCTGCCGTCTCCCCTCCCTCTCCCCATCTCCGCCCCTTCTGACCCTCCCCATTCGATTCCGCTCTGCATTGGCCAGTGTGGGAGTGCTCCTACTCCAGATGCTCACAGGCTGGGAAGGTCCCTTCAGGGATGTGGATGGCCAGAGCACACACATCTATGACTGGGTGCGTGATGCTCTTGAAATCAGGGCATGGTATGGCAAGGCATGGCATGGCATTGTATGGCAGGGCTGGGCAGGGCAGGGCAGGGTAAGGCATGGCAGGTATGGCAAGGTGTGGCATTGGGATGGTATGGCCCACCTCCCCCACTTCCCACTCCCCCTTTCCCCCTCCCGGCCTCCCCCTCTTCCGACTCCCCCCTTCTCCCTGCCTACCTCCCCATCCTCTTCCCCTACCGTCCCCCCTACCGCCCTCCCCCCCTCCCCCACCCGCAGGCCCGGCAACACGCAGACTCGGACGACGTCTCTCCTCTCCTCGACCCTCTGCTGCCACACCCCCTGCCCCCTCCCGCCACCCTCCTCCCCCTCTTCCGCCTCGCCCTCGCCTGCTCGTCCCCCTCACAGTCCGCCCGCCCCATGCCCGTATATGCTCTTGAAGTTGTGAGGAACTTCCGCACCTCCCTGCTGGAGGCGTTGCGGCCTGGAAGGGGACTTGGGGGTGCACATGGGGAAAAGGGAAAGGGGGACGGGGGAGAAAAGGGTGAAAAGGGAGTGGGGGAAGAGGGAGGAAAGAGAGATAATGGGGGGAAGAATGAAGAGGGGGGGAAGGGGAAGAGTGGGGAGGAATGGAGTGGGGTGTCCATTGGAGAAAGTCCTGAGGGAGCGGCGGAACAGAGTAATGACTATACAAGGCTGCCATTAGTGGGTGCAGCAGAGGATGGTAGCGAGTCTATGGTGTAGACAGGGAGGTGTTATCTGTAAGGTTCTTGCCGTGTAGACCGGAGCAGGTGATATCTGTCGGTGTAGTTTAGGGAAGTTACCCGTAAGCCCCCGGATTGAAGCGCAAGCCTCGGATAAGCGCCGGCGCTTACAAAAGGATGAGGGCGCTTATATCCGGTCCTCCATAATAAGCACACCCCTGAAGGCTTACGGATTATAAGCGCCACCCTCTTCTTTTTTATTATAATTTTACTGAAATCGTTGTAACAAAACTCAACATTTTCATTCCCACATTTTGAATTTTGATGCCCCCTCACCCTCGCCCGGCTCACTGGCAACGCGTTGTCAGAATGAGGAATGGGTGTTCCATTGATGTTGGTTGGGGTACATATGACAAACCCTAACTTCTGTACCCCCTAAGACAAATCTCACTACAGGCTACAACATTTGACACACCCCCATAGCCTAAGTGAGGGGTGTCTAGCAAAAAACAAAAAAAAAAAAAAAGAGTACGGTCACAAGACCAGTCCAAAAGAAAACAAAGCTCAGGGTGGATCACAACGTCACCACACACTCTGAGCACAAGCAACAGTGGCCACAAGGCCAGTCCAAGAGATCACAAGTATATATAGTAAGTGTACAGACGAAGCAGGCAATAAACTCAAGTCTACGCATGACTAGAACCTGTGTCAACAAGGCCTAACTGCACACAACACCTCTGGTGGTCACAAGGCGGAAGCGCCTTGGTGAAGATGTCTGCAGTGTTGGCCTCGGACTCTACAAACTCGAAGCGAGCCTGTCCACGCCTCTGCAACTCTCGCAGAAGAAAGTACCTGACGTGAATGTGCTTCACTCTGCTCTCCAGTCGCGGCTCACGACAGAGGAGGATCGACGCCTTGTTGTCAGTAAACAAGGTCGGTGCAGAGCTCGGCCGCTCACCAAGGTCGGCGAGCAAGAAGGTCAACCACCGTAACTCCTGTGCCGCCATGGCACCAGCGTAAATCTCAGCCTCAGCTGTAGAGGTCGAGACAGAAGAGGAGCGCGTGGAACGCCAGGAAACAGCTCCAGAACCCAGACTGAAACAGTACCCCTGAGTAGACCTGTGAGTCTCAGCGTCGTCAGCGTAAGAGGAGTCACAGTGACCAGTGAGTACGACAGACTGCTGCCCTCCAAGAACTAGCCCCACGCCTGATGTAGTCGCTAGGTACTTCGCCACCCTCACAGCTGCCGTCCAGTGAACAGGACGGTGTCTCCCTGGCGCAACAAAGCGCGCAAGGATGCTGAGAGGGAAGGCGAGGTCCGGGCGAGTACAAGTCATCAGGTACATGAGGCAACCCACAAGCTCTGCGTAGGGACCACTAGGCTCAAACGGCTCGTCAGGAAAGGGACCAGTGAGTCTGTGGTCAACAGCTAGAGGTGTGCGCTGTACGGTGGAGTGCTGAAGCCCGAACCGCTGAAGGACCTGCTGCACCATGTGTGACTGTGAGAGTGTAATGGTGCGAGCGGCTCTGTCCCTGGTGATCTGCAGGCCAAGGTAGTGGCGCAGCTCACCAAGATCAGTGCACGTGTGTCTCTTCTGCAGTTCGGACTTCACGTCTGCCAAAGCAACCCTGTCCGAAGTGGCGAAAACGAGGTCGTCGACGTAGACCAGAACAAAGAACGGTGTGGAGCCACGACGAACGAACAGCGACGGGTCGGCAGAAGACGGCTGGAACCCAAGGTCAGAGAGGGTAGAACGCAGAGTGTCGTGCCACTCACGAGGGGCCTGGCGAAGACCGTAAACAGGTCGCCTCAGCCTCCACTGGGTCCCAAGAGGGAAAGTGCCAGTGAAGGCCGAGGGACGACGCAACCAGACCTCCTCGTGTAGACTGCCCTGAAGGAAAGCAGTGGAGAAGTCAAGAGAGTGTAACTCGTAGTCTCTCTGTGCTGCTACGTGTAGTAACACCCGAAGAGTGGTCATCTTCGGGGTAGGTGCGAAGGTCTGAAAGAAGTCAACTCCCTCGCGCTGACTGAAACCTCTAGCCACGTAGCGCGCCTTGAAGACCGGGGGAGATCCCGGTGGCCGCTTCACCCTGTAGATCCACATGCCGTCGACTACGTTCGCCCCAGGGGGGGGAACCTCATCGACGTAGGTGCCTGTGGATCTGTAGGAGGCCATCTCTGCGTCCATGGCAGCTCTCCACTGAGAGGCCCAAGGCCCTGACACTGCCTCAGCGTAAGTGCGAGGAGTCGGAATGTCAAGGGCGTCGGGGTCACCCTCAGGGGCGAGGAGCATGGCACAGAGATGAGGGGAAGCGGCCGCCAGGAACTCTAGCTCAAACTGCCTGTCCTCTAGGGCGTCACAGCCAAGGGCAGACACACCCCCGACGACCAGAGGACTGGTAGGAGGAGCAGTCACAAGCGTGGTGGCGTAGTCAAGGCGGCGGGTAGAGGCAAAGTCAGTAACCGCGGCAGTAAGAGCGGACACAGAGGACACAGAGACACGAGGGTGAGTAACAAGAGAGGCGAGAACACGAGAGAGAACAGGACGGTACATGCGGTAGTAGTCAGTGACAGGAGTAGGGAGCGACACAGTGAGGGCCGACTCAGGAGGAGACGGAAGCACAGACTGAGATGGACGAGGTGGACTAGAAAGAAGGAAGGCAGTACGAAGGTCAGTGAAGGGAACAGGAGACGAGGGACGAGCACGAGGGGAGCGACGAGTAGCCCAAGAACGAGACGGAGGAGAAGAGGACAAGGGCGGAGAACTGGGGAAAACAGCGGGGGAGGAGTCAGGAGGAGGAAACGTGGGACCGTAGACAGGAGGAGAGGCGGAGGAGGGAGGAGAAGGGGAGGGGAGACCAAGGATCCGAAGACCCGAGACAGGAGGAGGAAGTGGCTGCTGCTGCTGCGGCTGCGACTGCTGCTGCTGCGGACGCGGCTGCTGCTGGGACTGCTGCTCCTGCGGGTCCAGCTGCTGCTACTGCTGCTACTGCTCCTGCGGCTCCAGCTGCTGCTGCTGCTCCTCCAGCCGCTGTAACTCCCTCTCCTCTCTCTCCAACGCCAGCTGCTCGTCACGGGCACGGCGAACACGAGCCTGGTGCCTAGTCGGGTAGGGGTGGGGGGGTGGAGTAGTGTCCGAAGCAGCGGCAGCTCCAGAGTCCACCTCAGAAGAACTAGGCGCACCACCCCCAGAGGCAGCACTAACACCAGCTCCAGAACCAGGCTCACCTGAACCCGAAGGAGGCGCACCCTCACCCCCAGACGCAGCACCCCCAGTGTCCGCGCGGCCAGCACCAGCTCCCGGACGACAAGAGTCCTCTGCACCCACCGGGTCAGCTCCAACTCCAGAACCAGAAACTCCAGCTCCAACCCCAGCTCCAACTCCAGCACCCCCAGAACCAGAAACTCCAGTGCCAACTCCAGCTCCAACTCCAGCTCCAACTCCAGCACCAACTCCAGCACCCCCAGAACCAGAAACCGGTACAGGAACAGGCGCCGCACCAACCTCTCGAGAGCTAGCACCAGCGGCACGCTGCGAGGAGGACTGTGGGGAGGGAGGCTGTACCGGAGGGGCTACCGAAGGAGGAGGGGTAGCCTGGGACACACCTGACGGGGCTGGACCAGGGGGGGGAGGCTGTACCGGGGGAGCAGGAGGGGGAACGGCAGTCAGGAAGAGGGGGGGAGGAGGAACCGGGAGACCTCGACTGGGGTACCTGACGTAGTACGGAGTGGACTCCTCGAAACGGACGTCACGGGAGTCAAAGAACCGGTGAGAGGGAGGGTGGTAAAAGGTGAAGTCAGAGGAGTCCTCAGGGAAACCAAGGAAGACACAGGGGACGGCACGAGGCGAGAGCTTGTCCGCGGAGGTGTCGCGGACAAGAGCCAAGCACCCCCAGACACGAAACCGCGACGCAACACCAGGGGACCCTGTCCAAAGACTGGTCGGTGAAACCTCTGGTCGAGAGACACGTGGCCAGAGGTTCAGCTGGTGCGCGGCGTACCTGACCGCGTAGGGCCACAGAAAATGGGGGGCACAGGCGTGAGTCAGGGAGGTGCGGGCGATCTCCATGACCAGGCCTATGCGGCGCTCAGCAACCCCATTCTGCTGTGGGGACTCTGGAAGCGTCCAGGACTGACGAATGCCCTGCTCGCGACAGAATCCAGCGAGAATGCCGGAGCGAAACTCACCCCCACGGTCGGAGTGGAGACAGCTGACACGACGACCACGAGTGTCCTCAGTGGTGAGCAACCACCTGATCAGCGTAGAAGTCACCTCAGACTTCTTCGCCAGAGGGAACACTGTGGTGTAGCGGGAGAAGTCGTCAACGACCACCAGAAAGTAACGCTCACGCTCAGGGCCTAGACGAGGGGCTGGGCCCCAGACGTCCAAGTGAAGCGTCTCAAAAGGCTCGGTGGCCGGACGAAGGGAGGAGGAGTGAGGGGTGGCGCGCAGCCTACCCTCGACGCAGGGACGACACGGCGGCGCAGGCGAAGGCGGCAGCGACGGCAAGACACGTGGGAGGCCTAGGACAAGACGCTGACTAGACATAGCGCGCAGACGTGGAAGGGACGGGTGCCCCATCCGGTGGTGCCACAGAACGGTGGGGTGGGCAAGCGACCGGCAGGAGCACGACGCAGCGACTGGAACAGACGTAGGAACCTGACACGACACAGACACCTGGGGGGACGTAGCAACCTGGTGAGACGCGGGGACCCGAACGGGGGGGGGAACCGGGGGCAGTGGCAGTAGGGGGGGCTGCTGGTGCGGCCGCTGGTGCTGCTGCTGCTGCTGCTGCTGCGGCTGCGGCTGCTGCTGCTGCTGCGGCTGCTGCTGCGGCGCACGCGGGCCAGTGTGAAGAGTGTAGAGACCCGAGCCCGGCTCAGCAGTAAAGGTAGCAAGAGGCTGGTAAGAGTCTCCGTCAACACACACCGCAGTCTCTCCAGAAGGCTCAAACCACACACCCACGTGCTGACTCATGAGGGGTCGCACGCCCACCAAGTTCCGGGAGAACGAGGGGACGTGAAACCCAGTGAGAGAC